ATGAAACAGAGATTTTGGTGGGAGGTAAATTTGAGGTCAGTTACTGTTCAAAATTATAAAAGTAGCTCCCAGGAAGACAACATTACCTACTCCATGGAGCTTTGGGTAATGGCTTTTGGAAAGTAGCTGTGATTTGGGAATTACATTATCTCATTTAAGAGGTGAGGAGGGATTATTTAATAGTTTTGGTGCATGGATGAGAATTTATTATATTCCTCCGGTCATGGCCCTGCTTGGTGGAGCTGCTACACGTGGTTCAGTCCTAAGCTAGCTCTGGCCTAATGCCACTCAATGTCACTGGGGATAAATCACTGCTCAGCAGTCTGTTCCATAAACAGCAATAATTAAGTTTTGCAGACCTTATCCTTATTAGTGGAAACTAAATAATTGGTTGGAATCCCAGTGTGTTTTCCCTTGCACAAACTTATTAGAATCGATTATAGAACTGTTCAGAGGAGCTTGCCACTAATAATTTTTTGGTTTTAGGAAAAACAAGAGAACATCATAAAATGTAAAATTATGAGTTTTGCCAAGAAAGGTGCTAAATTCTTTTAGTGCTAAGAAAACTCCACATAACATAAGTTCCAATGGGTTTTAAAAATGGGTTCGAACTTACTGGCAGTTTACTAATAAAATGACAAGCTGGAAAAATGTACATTTTAAGGGTAGGAAAAGAAAATAAGAATATAATTAAAAGTATGCGAATAGGCTCAGCACCGGTAGCTCAGCAGCCACAAACACGGGAGCTGGTAGGTTCGAGCCTAGCCCAGGCCTGCCAAACAACGACAGCTACAACCAAAAAATACTTGGGTGTTGTGGTGAGCACCTGGTGTTGTGGTGAGCACCTGTAGTCCCAGCTACTTGGGAGGCTGAGGCAAGAGAATCGCTTAAGCCCAAGAGTTTGAGGTTGCTGTGAGCTGTGACACCACAGCACTCTACCGAGGGTGACACAATGAAACTCTGTCTCAAAAAAAAAAATTATGCTAACAAAATAAGCAGAATTAGCTCTGTTGGAAAAGGCATGTAAATTCCAGGCGTCCTCAGATGTCTTTTACTGTTAAAGAGGCTGAGTCCCTCAGAGATGTGATTGTTTTGTAGAGGCAGCACCAACTTCAAGAACATCGAGCTGGATTCCTTGTGTCGATATGAGCATTGACAGAGGGAAAAAGTGTGGCCAGGTGGCCCCTGTGTTGCCCACACCACGCAAGGGACAAGAGTAGAGGACTGTCGGGACTTGGCAAATCCCAGAATGTGGAAACCGAGTTTGAGGCAAGAAGGAGCCAGAAAAGATGTCCTGTCCCTCCCTCTGTGGGCAGCTGGTCACCAAGGTCTGGACAGCTGAGGACGCCCCAAGCACCTCATGTCACCCCAAGTCTGGCAGAGCCACCCCTTAAGAATGCTAAAGGAACCTTCATACTGCAGAACAGTTAGGCCGGGAGGAGCTTGCTTTGTGGCCGCAGAGCACTTCTGTCCTGGGGAAACTTGGGTGCTCCCAGTAGGACCTGCACACTGAAGTGTCCTTGGCCGTGTCACCAGCCCTGCTGGGCCAGCTTGCAGGTTCTGAAGGTGGTGTGGGATCCTGACCTGGTTCGTTCTCCCGGGACTGTCTTCCATGAGGAGACATTCCAGGAAAAGCGCTTGGAGCACCAGGAGGCTCCCTCCTGTCACCGCCATCAGCCTCTGGAGCCCTGCACCCCGGCAGCGCCATGCCCCTCCTGTGGCAGACCCAGGCCCAGAAGGGGCCGGGGAATCTGCACTGCAGTGAGCCCAGCAGGGGAGGGTGGAGAACGCAAACCCAGCTTCCAGCCTTGGGCAAGCACCCTGGGCTGGTGGTGCGGGTCACCCTGCAGGTGGGGGAAGGCCATTATCCAAATTTGCAGAATATGGACGTGAGAACAAGGCCACATCTAGTGATGTCAGTGTGTTGGCAAGGCCTCTAGTCCCATCAGTGACCAGGATTGAATATGAGCATTGCCATTGACAATTCTCAGCTTTAACAAATAAATACAGGACTTTCTCCCCTACCCGGGAGGTTTCTCGTAACCAGACATTACATGCAAATGCTTAGTGCTTCTAAACTAAATTGCACAGTGATTTTTGCAGCACACTTGCTCTCACAAGGCGCACAGTAGTTAAAGGCTAAGCCAAGAGGCCTATAATCCCAGCCAAGCCAGAGCGCCCTGGAGGGCTGGTATCTTTGACGCAAGCTTCATGCGCCTTCAGGTCCTGGTTTAGACACTACCATGAAAGCAGTGATTCTGGACTTTCCCAGTGAGCATCTCGGAATACGAGAAAGGTTATGATGGTAAACACCCGTCTCGCCTCTGGGAATCGCACAGTGGCCCAGAGAAGCAGGCAGTTCCCTTTACAGACGGCCCTCGGTGTCAAGTC